GTGCAGTAGGCAGCTGTCTGTGCGTACTCAAGGTAAGTTGCACGGACTGCCCAAGCGGGCCGATACCCAAGTATATATCGACTGTCAAGCATCACATACAAGGATTCCAAGGATAAGATCCGTCCAAGTCGCAACATGAGTGGCATTGAGCTCTATCAACGCGCTATGCAAGAAAGAAAAAATGCTGTGATGCTAGCATCAATGAAGAACATAGAAGACCAGGCACTCAAGACATCTAGACATGTCGAGGGGAAACCAATACAACGCCGAAAGACATGCAGCGTCGGAAATCAAGACGCTCTAGATATTACTCCAAGATCCACCGCTTTTCAAACTTGTTGCTGTCGTAATCGTTTTGAGCTCTGTTATCGTACAGACTCAATGATGGAAATGTCGTCTACCGCATCCTCATCCATATCGTGATGTATAACCTTCTTGAGGGCGTTGTCGATTTGAACAGCGCCGACGTCTTCCTTGGGGACCCAGAATAGCTGGATCATGCCGAAGATGGCCGCGGCAGCGAGAGCGAACCAGGCTGCTGCAGATCCACCGAGCGAGTAGATCAATCCGATCAGGGGAGAAGAGATGGTTCTCGCTAAGCAGCACGCTGACATGGCGATACCGTTGACGCGACCGAGTACTAGGGGTGAAGGAACGGCGTTCTTCATCAGGATCAGGGCGCATGGGAAGACGATAATACCGAAGAACGCCTGCAGGAAAAGCGAAACGTATATGCCCGGGGTTATGAGTCCGTGGGGAAGAGCGCTGATGAAGGGTACAATGAGGTATGTAATCGGGTAAAGGATGATCATCCAGATGAAGGAGTTCCAGACACCGACCCACTCAACAAATGGAGGGAAAATGAAACCCTGGACGAAGAGCGTGATGAAGCCGTTGACCGTGAGGAACTTTCCAACATCGGGCAAGTCCAGTCCTAATCCGCCCTGGAAATCAAGACCCTTGTTCGCAGGCGTGTCCAGAATGTAGACCGGGAGAATCGAGATGAAGGCCATTTGATGGAAAGCGAAGATGGCCATGGCGAGAACGATCATGACTACAGTCCGGTTGAATGTCTTTCGGGGTTTCGGGGTTGGTCCGCCTCGGATCGGGAGCACATCCTGCTGGACCTTGATCGAGTGCATGGTTCCAAAAGACGAACGGCGGATATCGAAGTTTTGAGCAAAAGGCATGGGCATACCCTCTTCCAGGAAAGAAGCTCGTTTGCGGATCTGTCGAATGCTGCCAGAAACCGACATGGAGGCCAATCGGTCGCGCGTAACGCTCAACATGGAGCCACGATGTCTCATCGAGCCAGCGGTTGAGCCTCGGGCGTCGCGGTTCGCATGCTGGTGGTTTGAGGGCGGGGGAAGGAGACGGCTGCGCTCGTTTGCGGGGGTCTCGTTGATGGTGTCCAGATGGTCGTGGTAATCGTGGTGGTCCTCGATGCCGTTCTCTCCCTCTGGCTTCTCTTCTCGGACCAGGGTCTCCTCCAAGAAGATCATACCCTGGAGAATGGCCAGCAGGATTCCAATGGCGGCGATCAGGTTAGGCAGAAGATACGGGTAGCGTCCGAAAATGCCATCCTGATCGAAAACATTGGGGTAAAGTCGTGCTGGTTGAGCGAGGAAACCACCCATGGCCGAACCGATGATACCGCCCACCGTCCAGACGAAGGGTTGTGTGGCATATGCGCGCGCTATCTCGTGTTAGCTTGACCTGCCTGATGCGGAGTGCGCGATTTACTTACGCTCGTGGGCTGGGTTCTTGACCGACTCAGCGACCATAGTTTGCATGATTGCGACATTTCCATTCAGTGCACCGCCGATGAAGCGCGCAAGCAGGGCGACCCAGTACGTCTCCGCGACACCGAACATGAGACTAGATGCGGCGACACCGAGCAAGCCAATGAGCGCGACAGGTTTCCGGCCGTACACATCAGACACCATTCCCCATAATGGGGCCGTCATGGCCTCGGCGATGGCGTACGCTGACACCAAGAGTCCCGCGTAGAACGAAGCATCGTGTTTGCTGATGCCCAGGTCCCGCACCATAAAAGGTGAGTAGGCGAGGATAGAGTTGAAGGCGAGAGGCTCGGAGAATCGGCATATCCCTAAGCGGTGGTCAGCGACGGTCCAATCAACATGACATCACCTGCAGCCGCCATACATACCGAGAATCAAGAGCTGCTTGGTGGGGAACGGCGCGTCCTTTGGATCAGGAGGCATAATGGCGGTATTACGATTAGTAGAGAATGGAGGAGGACGAGTTTCGCATAATAACAGAGGATGGGAATCAAGGTTTTACGGGCAACAGCTTATCATAGCGCCACTAGGTGAGAGCAAGCGCGGGCCGACAGATTCCCCTCAATACAGCACCCTGCACCGTGCCCCAACTAGTGTTTCCCGCATTCACGATAAACGTGCTGCAGCCTCGCCGTTCCCTGTTAGATGCACACACAGGCTCGCTTGTGCCGCCTCGATTCCGATTGCTCGAAAACCCCCGGCCGTTGCGCTCGCGGTTGGGCAACACCCCTTCGAAGAGCGCACGCTGCGGAACTTGGGACCGACTGCGCGCAGCTCGCCGACTCGAGCAAATTTGGGTGGCAGATTGGCTGTTTGCAGGTGTCAATCCGCCGATTGACTTTTACTAGGCTAGATCTCGGGCGCGCTGGGGGTGGGTTACCCTTGTCGTTCGATTCATACGTCATGGTGAGAGAGGCTGCCAAGGGGTGCTGCAGTTGAGGCAGGCAAAGCAACCCTGTCTCAACTATTGGCTTGCTCACCGTACTTTCCACCGTCGCAGCTTGCACGGCTGGCGCGGGCCAGGGAATAACACATTTGCTTTGTTCGACAAAGACACATCGACAACGGAAGCACCGATCACTCTGCTAGCAATGCCTCTGCTCCGCGGTGCGAGCATCTGACGGGCTGCGGGCACTTCCCACAAGGTCGTGGTTCGTTTTAGATTTGTTGAGTAACATGTCAAGTCAAGCCCACGCGTTGCTGGGTGGCGCTACAAGCGTCACGAGGCGTCTTTGCTTCGACACACCTTCCTGTGTGCCATCAACAATTTCACTCTACTCTGCAGCCGATGCGAACCCTCACATCTCTGCGTAACCTTGCGCGCCAATGGCAGCCCCAGGAGATGACATGCATCCTCTTGCGTTATCTGCTGAGGCTCACGAGACCCAATCGCGACCAGCGCCTTTGTCTACCCCGCGAGCGCTGTCGCACCTCTCTCTGTGAGCGGTGTGACGGAGCGCTACTCGTACCCGGATCCGATGATCGCTGGGCCGCATAGTCGTGATGATGGTTTGGTCATGTGATATCGCGTCAAGTCCATGCTTAGCGCCCGCATCTACGTCAACGATCTTTACTTTTCTCAAACACGATCGTATGCCGCGGACCACGACCTGTACCTGGCCACCTCACCACAACTACCGAGATGACACCAAGCTGCGCTGCCGCGGCTTCGCCTATCGATCCGATCATCTGTGTGTGCGGGTCGCTTCCGTGCGCGAAATGAGCAGCGATCCGTCTCATCTCCCAGTCCGGTGCCTGACGCTAGCAGTCATGTCAATAGAAGTAGGGGCTCTTCCGTTGTTCTAGATGTCTTTGTGAGTTTCGGACATGAATTATCGCGGTTTCATCTCACAATTCTTCCATTATACTCCCAGCTGGCTGCGGATCCCAATTGGAGCTCGGCACATTTCAACATCTCATTGACTTCATCGACATTACCTCGATGATGATGACAGTGTTGCACAGCCTTAAGCCACCCCCACCTCTTTTGTCGACGCGCTCGGACTTGGACCCAAAGTCGTGACGAAGATGACTGCCAGGTCCATGCATGTATCCCGAGGTGCCATCTAAAGCGGCCTAGTTGGCTCGCTTCGTCCCGACGCGGCTTCCCAGCCCCCAGGGCATACCTTGGGAGAGTGTCTCGTTGTTCCCTTTCAAATGACAGCGTTATGCGACGCCACCATGGGGCTGTGTTCTGCCATTTGACAAGTACAGTCGCTCACCCCCACACTATGTGCTGTCAACGAGTGCACTATTTACGCTCTTGTTCTCCGCACTGGTCTGGATTGTTGATCGTCTTTGATCACTTCATCAGCTCCTCTCAACACTGTTTCTTGTGTCAAATTCCCTGACTTTGATCTCGTATTTCGAACAATGAGTAGCGCATACGTGGCATGAAGACCTTTAACTAAGCCGCTCTTGTCATGCCGTCAATGCAAATATCACGATCTCAAGGAGAGCCAGCTCAAGACAGTTACTTGGTGGTGGGATGGCATGCGCGCAGCTTGCATGCTTTCCTTATCGGCATTTGGGCACCTGACGATCCATAAGAGATAGGAGGTTGAAGAAGCTGGCGCTTAGTTGGAGGCCACGAATGCTGTCTTTCAGGTGGACATTCAACAGCACTACAGACGATACACGAGCACAGTGACTATGGAGATGCCAATATCAATGACTAAGTCTGCTGACTGGTCGACTTTACACACCTAACCATGAGACTACACGAGACGCGGCTACGGCAGACGTGCTTTGTGTACGCATGTTGAAAGACTTACTCTCGCAGACCTACCGCTGTTATATCTTCCAGTCATGGCGTCCTTTGGCAACTCATGAACGACGACTTCCCAATACGCAGATTCTCTTCTTCGGCCATGGTTGGTGTCAAAAACCGCAGTACAAAATATCCGCACCAAAAGCTATCAACAACCGATCCCGACCATCAAACTACATCACAACGGTGAAAACAGTCAAAACACCATGTCCACCACTGAATCAAATCGATGCAGCGGTGCGGTTTCCTCGAGTCGAAGGATGATGTGTGCAATATATGATAGCTTTCCTGTGGACTGTTCTAGTGACTCACGTGCGAAGCAAAATGGTAACATCCAGTAACATTGTATTTCTCTGCATTTTGACATAGGCTCAGATACAGATCCATAACAAGAAGTTACACCAATATTATCGAAAAGGGAACCAAAACTAGTCCGTGCTGTCCTTCTCCAGCTCGGACTTGTCAACAGTCTTCTCCAGTTCAGTCTTGACGGCAGCCTTCATCAGCTCAATTTCGGCGATAGCCTTTTTCACATGAGCGAGATGGTCGTCAATGTCGCCCGACAATTTCAAGGTCGGCGATGGAGCGCGTTTCTCTAAATCATTCGACTTGTCGTTCCATTCCGCCATACGCTCACTAAACTCCGCCCCAAACCCTTTATGCTTGTCCGTTTTCATAAACTCGTTCCAAATCTGATTCTCCTCCAACATCTTGTTTACCCGCTCTTGATCATCATCAGCCTGCGTCAACAGTGCCTCCTTCAACTGTGCGTAGTAATCCGCCCCGCTATCGCGCACTGCCGCTGCAAGCTCATCCTCGTGGACGGTAAACACGTCAGGCTCGACATCTTCTTTAAGGTTGAGATAGCCCTGGCCATCGACGTAGAAGTTAAGGGCGTCCCATCCATACTTCCAGAACTCATCCACATGCGCATTCAAGCTTTTGAGGAGTAAATCTGCTCGCCTGCGGCCCCCCATCTTGATACCGCTGGTTTCGATGGCTTTCATCCTGTTATCGGATTTATGGAGTATAGATTCGGCGCCGAACTGGGCAGTGTCGCCGATGGCGATGATGTCATTGGCTGCGGGAATTATGGTTTCATCGAGCAGCCTTTTGTAGTGGATAATAAGGTTTGCCATCGCCAGAATACGGTGGCTAAGTTTGTGGGGTTGATCTATGGGATCATCTATGGGAATGGGGACTGATGTCGACATCGTGAAGTATTTGATGGAGACAAAAAGAGGATAGAGGTTTAGGCGATGCAACTTCTTCTCGAGTAAGGTGGATGAGTTTGTGAAGCAAACTTATGATCTACTGTGGGCTCTGTGCCAATAGAGATAGTAGATAGATGCTCGTGGTTGCTGAAGGACTTTGAGTGCTGTGATGTATCTAGATAGGGAGCCTCTAAAGATCGCCTTTTGTACTAGTGAAGAGTCACATATTTTACTCATATATGACTGCACCTGGCTCATCACATCGTTCAGTACAGTCAAACTATTGACTGTATCGGGGTAACATCTAGGCGGAGTCGTCGTCTTACAGTCACTGAACGATGACAACGTCTGACTGAAGAAGGCGGGGCTGTACTACCCAAGACCGTATTTGCGAAGACTTAAGAGTCATGAACATAATGCCGTTGTTGTTTGAGATGGTTTCTTTCTGCCTGACCACGTGGCCCGTGATGCCGCCCTGACCTAAAAGTCAGTCTAATGCCGTTGAGGTGATCTATCTTGCCCTTCTATAACTGTACCCCATAAACTCCTTGTGAAATGTCCTAATCTAGTATTCTATAGCGAGTCGCGTATATGTTTGGCATGTCGTCTCTTCGCCCTTGGAATACCCTTCCCAACGCACTTGAGCGAGCTGTCTTCGGGACCATGACTTCGTCATATTACGAAATGTTCCTCCCGTCCTCCGCACTGATATACCAATAATCTTCATCCCTCATGTCGTATTCCCAACGACTGGCATCTTCCCCTCTCCATCACCCACCCAAGCATATCCATAACAATAATCTTCAACCCATCCCCGCCTCTTCAGCGCCCCTCATACTCCGTCCCCTTCTTCCTCTCCGCCGAGCTCCAACTCCTCACCGGCGGCGTATACTTGTACTTCGCATCAAACGCCGCACCACACTGATCACACCTATATACGCCGTCCTTATCACAACCCAGTGTGATGCGCACAATGTTTGGGCATTTGGCGCAGAACCAGTCGCCTTTTGATTTGGGGCAGTAGGCAATATTGTTGAGGCAAGCGCCGCTGTGAGAAGCGGGGTTGGGGAAGTCGCAGCCGGAGCAGCGGTAGGGGGTTGCTGACGGCATTGTCGAGGAGTTGAGATTTGGAGGTGTAAAGTATGTAGGTAAAGGGATGTTGGTGGGTCGAGGTTGTGATTTGGAGTTTAGCGGTGGTTTGATTTTTCGAGATTGGTTGTTATGTACGTGATGGATGCAAACCGTGTGTAGATTTGAAAGTGTGGAGTGAGTGAGTGAGTGCGGATGTGCTCGAACGTATCTCCTCTAACACCAGCGTCGGAACATCCAGTATTTACACTCAAAGACCTTCGAACTCGGATAACCCAATGGTTCTTTTGACCAGCGTTCTTTCTTTCGGGCTGTGTTCCGTCGTATTTCCATACGTATAGCGAGCGAGAAGAAGGTTTGTGCGCCGTGGGGTGTTCGGCGAGGACGAACAACTGCTAACCTACTACTAACCAAGACGCCGTCTCATCATGAACTACCCATCTAGCCAGCCATCCATCCCCATATTCCCTACCACACTCATCTCCTTTCAGTGCCCTGTTCCTTCTCATACAGTACTCGTTCTTCCATCTCATAACTCATTCTCAATACTTATCATGACTTGCGAGATTACATCGCCAGCCAAACTCATGAATCACTCCCCTCTACCCCATTCGCCACTTCTTTTCCTCTTCAACAGCACCCAGCCTCAGCCTCACGCAGAGCCCGAAGACTCGGTCGCTGAAACACCTTTTTCTACCGCACCGTTCCTTGATGTTCCTTGATATCCACCTAGCGCCCCATGCCATTGGCTCTTGGCGGGGAAAAAGCATCCCCAGCGGTGACGTGCACGTCACTAGCTCGCTGGTGCTAACCGCAACAAAGCCTACAAGAGGCTCATCATTACATCTTGGCTTGTTTCCGCGAATCTGGTTTTGCTCCGTTCCACGTTGTTTATGTTCCGTTCCACGTGGAATCTTCCATGTGGCAACCATGGCGCATGCAGATCTCAACGTAGAATGACAAATAGAATAGGTGTGGAAGGGGAGGAAGGTTCGAGAAATGAGGCGGTGGAGGTGTTGTTTTTGTGTCATGTTGATGGGTGAGGATGGGGGTTGAGTAATCTTAATAATGCGGCCCAAGGTATTTTGGAGGCTGTTATGGTGCGGTGGGTGGGATTTAGAGGGCACTTTGCGTACTTGTATCAATGAAACGCTCATGGGTACTCGCAATTGTGATCTCATCAGACCCTTGTCGAGTCTCCTACGTGAACCACTCTACCAACGACGAGAAATGCGCCCTCGAATCGTGTACCAGAACACTGAAAGACTTTTGGTGCGATACCAAACTGATATTTTCGGTACCAAGAGGCCGATGCGGACGGGAAGCTACGATGTGAATCTGGTCCGGGATGTAACCCAAGCTATAGATGGGCGTCTCGCCGTGTCGTGCTTGCGTTGTAGAACCAGCACATTCAACAAACAATAGATGGGCGTCTCCTTCTCTTTCTCCCCGACAGTGAAGGGCAGAGGCGCCGAAACACCAAATTGGAGAGGCACCGAAACGGCGGTCGGAAGAGAGAGACGGGCGTGCCGAGGTTGGTCGGCAAAATAGTGAGGACACTTTGGGTCGCAAAGTGATCCGGGGTAGAAGCTTGAAAAGAATAGTTATAAACTAGGACGAAGGAAACGAAGCCATTGCGAAGACCATAATCTCCAGACCCATGCATCAACAACCAAGCCACCTACGCATTGCCGCAGACTACTTCTGATGCGTATGATCACTCCGCGCCCCAGTAACTCCAATGTTGAAGTCCTCGCGTATCCTCGACAGCGCACTCTGTTCCTCTTCATCCGCGACTTCATCGTCGACTTCAACTTCAGCAATGCTATGTCTGCTATCCGAGCCATCGCTACCATCCGCGTTGACCAATGCCTCCTGCTCCTGCTCTTCCTCATTATCCGAATCATCATCCGTGTCGTCGTCATCGGCTTTATTCGATTCGCGAGGATCGCGTCCAAGCTCCGGTTTCGTCTTGCGTTCAAAGTCCTCAGCGTGGGCGTCGCGGAAGATTTCGCCGACATGAGTGAACGCGCGCTGGAGAGGAGAGGGGCGGAAGTCGTCTTGAGGGCCGCGGCGCTTGCGCGTATTTGATTGGGAGTGTTCGAGATCTGCTCCTGAAGCTGTAGCTGGACGACGGACTTGGTTGTTGTTCTCGGTTGGTGTGTATGGGCGGAGCTCGTCGGGCTGTTCTTCGTCGATGAGGGTAGGTGCTCGAGGGATACCGGAGGTATGGTCCTCTTCCTCTTCTGCATCCAAGGGGAGGTAGTACGGCAGTGGTACATCCCTGCTTGCGCGGAAGCGACCGACGTTCGTGCAGTGCTCGTTCTCGACACGGAATACGGACCACATGCCTCTTCTGAAGATCTCACTGAGAGAGACACAGAATGAGGTAGTCGCCGAGTGCTGAAGCTGCAGGGGTGTAACCAGGTACATAACCCAATTGTTCCGCAAGATCGGATCAATGCACATAGCAGTATAGTACCACCACACTTTCTTGTATCCCAGCTCCTTGCGCAGGAAGGGATGCTTGGCATGTGGGTCACCGAGACTCCAGTCGTAGTAGATGTCCCAGAAGCTCGTGTAGATGCCGTTGATGGTTGCGAACAGTATGAAGACTGCCTTGGTGGACGGTTTCTGATCCATGCGGTAGATGCTGGTGGAAACATAGAACAGGATGGTTGCGATGTACTTTCCGCCGTTCAGCAGATGAGGGAACTTGTTTCCGGTGTCTTTGTAACGTCGCAGACATTGCATCAATCGCCATATACCCGGCAACGTCGTCATAACGCCGGTAACGCGTAGGTGAGACGAGTTGCATTGGTTGGGATTGTCCCAACCGTGCGCGTAGAGACAGAAAAACAGTGCGATGCCCTAGGCGGGTCAGTGATTTGGAGCAGAGATGGGTTCGGCGGACTTACACTCATGCTGTAGGTCAGAGAACAGAACATGTCGCCCAAGTAGAAGTCTCTCCATTCGACAGGGTATATACCAGCGAGCAACAGGCGCCACTGGCGAGGCATTAGCAGTGGTTTTGCACGAGTTGATCATGAGACTTACCAGGGAGTACAGCAGCCACATGCGAGTACGGAAGTACATTATCCTCAGAGGATTGAACAAAAGCGCGACCGATATACCAATAAGAATGACTGGGTAGTAGAGATAGAGTCCATCTCCCCCAACCTGATGAAAGTTGATTTGCATAAACAGTCCAAGCATAAACAAAGTCCAACAAGGAAGCTATGGTACGTCAGTGTCAGCGCGCCAGATATGGAATGAGTACTGACCTCCGCAAGTTGCCTCCAGTCCAAGTGGTGGCGGGTATCATATTCGAAGATAAAGACGTAGTTGATCTTGTGCTCGTGCCAGGTCCGACACGCCAGAGTGAATAGGAGAAGAAGGAAGTTGATGAGGAAGTAGCCGGCATAGATCTGAAAACATTAGCTTTGCCCTATCCATGGTTTGGATGAACTTACCTGCAACAGATAGCTTGTATTCACTGCGAACTCATTCCCGTCAGTATTGTGCAGATCTGCAATAGTGTTTGCTTTGATGAGACCCTGGATGCCAAGTATAACACCCGCCGACAATAGCAGACCGTTGCGGAATGTGTTGTCTGTGTAATCGCCTGCTCGTGCGATCTTGATGCGTAGCTTCCCGATGGCGACTTTGTGGTTGCCCTTCTCGAAGTACCGCGCGTATAGGTCCTCCGTCGCTCGAATGTGTCCTTCGATGACATCGCTGTTCACGAACCAGGCTTGGTTGACCTTTTCGTTCATGTACCGCGATGATGGTCGCGCGTTGACGGTCTTGTCGTACTTCTTGTTGATTTTCCGGAAGGCAGTCCGGTTCAATAACGCGTAGGACTTGAGAAGCTCGAGCCCTCTGTAGTACTCCTGCAGTGCCACCTTGAG